TAATAACAAAAAAAAAAAAAAAAAAAAAAAAAATTGAGGCAAATATTTCATCCATTCACTCTGATTCGATAGATAAGTTAAGGAAGCTGAGATTCCTATTCCAGCCATAGTACCTTTCAATACGAGAAATTAATTCCCGTTATTGACCCATAAAAATAGCTTGAGAGGGAATGATTTCTTCATTACGGAAGAATCATGTTTAATTCGCGGCGGTGAAACAGGGATTTGATATAAAATAGTACTATCTCGGCTATAATTGGTCAAATAGCAAATTTGCCTCGGTATAAACGTAGAACTACTAAAAATAAACATTTATTGTAGGTGTCTAAATATAACTCATATATCATTTTTCCTGAAATATGAACCCTTTACGGGCCTGGCAAAAATAAAATTCATAAAATAAAAAATGACTAGGCCATAGAACCCATCATTATTCAAAAAAATGTTTCCAAGAACGGCAATTTATAAATAAATACAAGTGCGAATGCAAAAACTATTTTTACTATCTCTATAACAATGTGAATAACATTTTTATCGGATTCACATTAAACAAATTTTTTATTGTAAGAACGAGGGGAAATTGAAAAGTGATGTAATATTCTATTTCATCTAGCTTAGATAAGATTATGGAACAACTAATGTAGCCAATTATAAATTGTTATTCAATTTCATGTGATTGACTTCACGAGAAGTTACATTATTGGTCAGATCAACCTTTTAATATCATCCAATTTTAGCAGTTACAATACTTGTTACAAAAAATCGTTTTCGTATTTTACCTACATTTATAAATGTAAATATATTGTCTTATTTTAATTTTCAAATAAAAATATATAATTCAAGAATTATTTCTAACAATAAGTTTATACGTTTGTTTTTTTTTCTAGGATGGTACCAAAATCAACAATCAAATGTGATCTTACAAACGAAAAAACCGTATTAATTGATCTTGATCAAATGTTTAATTCTCTGAATTCTGGTCATATTAAAAAAATAGAAAAGTCAGACCTTCAAAAAAATTTATTCACATATTGTGGCTCAAGAAAAATCATTCACATTTCGTCAAATAATTTTTTTATTAGTGAGAGAAATTTATGGATCAAGCGATTCGATTAATCAAATATTAAATTCTAATTATGAAATTTTGGGTGACGATTTCAATATAAACATTCAAGATCATTCTCAAAATATGTTTAGTTATCCCATATCTGCAGGAGATCACATTAATCGGGATGTTCTGAATACATATGAACAAGATGTTATAATGCAAGAAAATGAGGTCATAGAGAAAGATCTTACGCCCAACCACAATTATAATAACGAGAAGGATATGTAAGGTAATATATCAAAAGTTCAATATCAAGAAAAGCCACCACTTTTAGAACCCATCTTAAACCTTGGGTCAGCATATGTAATTGGAGAAAATTCTTTAAAAAATTCACAGTCTGCAGAGCCTGATGAAATAATAATTAAACAAAGATCTTTGATATCCGAATCCCAATACACTACTTCACCTGCTGATAAAGAAAATAAAGGTTCAAGTTCTCAACAGCAGCTTCAACAATCAAGTCATTTATTATTAGATGTTCAACCTCAAGATTCTCATCGTGTCAAAACGGAAGATGAAAACGTTCCTGTGGCTTTTTTGACACAAGAACATCATGTAGCAGAGACCAAAAATACTTTCGTCGATACAGTTAAAACAGAGGGAAGTGTAGCAGATGATTTTGGTGCTTTATATAAGTTCCCGGAGGCATCCGGAGAGTCGAATAGTACTGGAACTAAGGACTGTCCAATTATGCTGGACGACGATGATGATGATGATGAGGATGCACTTATCATTATTGAACATCCTTAATTTTTAATGATGTACTGGTAACTGCGTCTTACGTTAAAATAGAAATCTTAATTAGATTGCAAATAATTATAATGTTTCCAACAGATTCTATTAAAAAATTGATTTTTACTTTGCGAAATTTAAAATAATTAAATTAGAAACTTTCTGAAATAAATGAATTTAAATTTGAGAACATTTAAAATCTACTTAGGTAAATCCCGAATTTAGGGTATTTTTCAAGACTAATTTAAAATCATAATTAGAATTTATCAAATAAAATATACCTATTGAAATAT